TTTGCTCTCAGGAGGACATCGTTTAAGCTTGTTAATTACACCGTACAGCACACTAGTAGATACAACTCAGATGCTTTGTACTTGTTAAAGTAGAGCATGCAGCTCACGCTGATTTGAGATATTACATAATTTGTGTACTAGCACAAAGAGTTGACCATGCTATTCACTACTAGGGAATAATGTATCACTGAGACGCGCCTCTAAACCCATCTACTGATGAGTTTTGCACCCATTAGTGGTAAAACATCACAATGATTGACTTTTACCACCAAAGAAGATTCGTGCAAGTTAGTGGAGGTATACACCATGAAAAACATTTCAAATGTGAATCTGGTACATGCCTACACACGTCGACAACACCCACTTCACCGCAACGATGGAGCACACAACCAAGCTAGGCTAGGTATGGCGGCTGTTGAAATACTAGATGACCTGGTTGCGCCAATGGCGCAAGAAGCGAATTAGAATGAATGTTAGTAGTGAGTAAGTAGGAGATGTAACTGGAAATATAATGCAATGTAGATTGTATTACATCATGTATTAACTACAAATCATGAAATCAATACCAGAGAACCAAATAATGTCACCACCTCTGTACCAACAACCAACATTTTAGCATAAGGAGTATCACAAGAGTGTTTACTTGCACATCGGGAGTATCACAATTACAACTAAAGAGGCATTGTCCTCACTGTTGTCCCTAAGTCCTTGAGAAGGAGAGTTCCAAGCCTCGCAACTTCTTCCTCCAGCTCTGCACATGACCCTCAGTTACGAACCTCGTCCCTCAGCTATGATTATTTCAAGATGAAATCAACATCTATTTCTCTCACATGGAACATGTTCAGAATTTAGTCAGGCTCACTAATCTTTCAGCTACAAAGGTAGATAGAAAAATGGCATGATCAATAACTAAAAATATGGAACAATAATGCTTGTAGCATTAAAAAACCGAGAAAGTGAATTGAGGACAATAGAACAATTATTTATAATAATGGCAAGCTTGGCTGATGCAAAATGATCACTCCGAAACTATATGTTTAGAACCAAATTAAAAAGGAACAAAATAATCTAAAACTCCCTCTGTTCCAAAATAACTGTCTCAACTTTGTACAAAAACATCATGTATCTTTCGGACCAAATTTTAGACCATGGTACCACATAAATCAAGAATTAGACATATCACTGCATCCAGCACAGAAACAAGAAATTTTCAGATTACGACCTACCAAATTATCCATCCAAACATCCAGTCATACAAAGTCATTCAGATTTTAGACAAGTACTAACCGTCAGGTAACGCTGTTATTGCACGGGGAGGAAAATACGATAGGACAAGAGGTGAAGAGACTCGAGCACTCACATCCATGGCGAGGGTGGGGGTGCTTGGGGAGATGGGCCTACAACATCCACTGCGACGAGGAGGAGGAAGACGGCGAAGCAGGGAGGCATCTCCATCTCGAACATGACAGGGAGGCCGAGGAAGCCATGGAAGCAGTTGCAGGCGACGCTGCACACGTCGGTCGGCCACCGGGTCTATGTCTCCACCAGCACCGCTGGGACGACATCCCCAACCTCGCCCCATGCATCCACGCCGGCGAGCGATCTAGATGGCGGCAACAGCGCCACGGATGGCTGGCCCCCTCTTCCATCCATGTGGCCGACACTCCTCCTGCCGAGTCCGGGGGAACAATGACGGCGCCATGGACAGCTCGGCCACCTCGTCGTCTCTGCGCCCGTGCTCATCCTTTTGCCTGCGAACCCGGAGCAGGCGGTGGAGACCGGGTTCGCCCGCGAAGCGCATGGCCACGATGGCCTGCGCGCGAGCGATGGGAAGGCGATGAGGAGAAAGAGGCGAGGCGGTGGAGGAGTAGCAGTCGGCGGCGGGGCTCCTAGGGGGCAGAAGGCGGAGGAGGAGGTGGGAGGCAGTGGCGGCGGATAAGGGCTGTGGATTGGGGCTAGGGTTCGATGCCTATTTCCTCTCGCTCGCCCGATCCCGCGCTCATC